ACAAATATCCTATGATACCACTTATATGTGAAATCTAAAAAAAAATGATACAAATGAACTTATATACAGAGCAGAAACAGACCCACAGACATAGAAAATAAACTTATGGTTACCAAAGAGGAAAAGGGTGGGGAGGGATAAATTAGGAGTTTGGGATTAACATATACACACTACTATATGTAAAATAGATAGCCAGCAAGAATCTAGAGAATAGCACAGGGACTATACTCAATATTTTGTAACAGCCCATAAAGGAAAAGAATCTGAAAAAGAATGTATACATATACATTTACATATATACATATGTATACATATATATTATATAACTGAATCACTTTGCTGTACACCTGAAACTAACACAATTAAAATCAACTATACTTCAATAAAAATTTTTTAAAAAATAAAAATTACATAGCTTAAAAACAAACAAAAAATTTAGCTGTCAATCTAGTAGGTTTTTCCTTTAGTAAATATTAAACTGTTTACTATGATGTTTATGAATTTCTTATTGCTATTTTTACTTCCATAATTTTGGAAAAAATAATTGTTATACTCCAGCGACCAAGTTATTACCAGTAGTTCAACATGTAAATGTTTTTAATTCCATAAAAAGAATAATGAATTTTGTTTCCCTGTCTAGGTAAAACCAGTACATTGGAAAAAGTTTCATCAAGTAGTAAATGCCATCTCTCAAGTTTTTTTGATGATCTCCACAAAGCCAGTCTACAGCTCATGACTCTCATTTACATTCTGCCATAATGGTTTCTTTTTCATTTTCTTTTTGCTTTACTTTAGTGATGAAGACAATTAAACTTCTTCGGAAAATGGAGAAAGTAGTTAATTGTAACCAAATAGTAAAGCAACAATAGTAAATTATAATTTAACTTTATCTTGAAGTCCAGTAAGGTTTGGTTTGGAATATATAATATTAATACTTGATAAGCTTAAATAATTTAGAATAATTTAAAACACCTAAAAATGTTCATATGAGATTTGCTTTGAATTTAGAAAAAGTATTCTTTTACAATTTTGAGAAGAATGTAATCTATATCACCAATACATATTTTAAAATAAAAGTGTTTCTATACTATTACATCATTGGTTCATGTACCCAACATTATATATTCTTAATAGAAACTAAGTGATTTTAAAATGACTTACTGCAATTAAAGTCTATAATTTGTCTAAAATTACATGTTAAATGTGCTAATTCTCCACAAACACCATTTTCCCTTTTTCCTCAATAATAGAAGTGGAACTAGGACATAGCTGCCTAGCCAGAAGTATTTCCCCACTCTTTTGTGGCTATGTATAAACATTTGCGTGGATTTTCAAGATGGGATGTGAGCTGATGTGAAGTTTGCAACTCCTACCTCCCTTGATTTAGGAAATGGAATTTAGGAATTTGTGGATTTCTGCCCCTGCTCCTTTCTATAGACTGAGATGGCAATAGTTGGTATTATTTTGAAACAGAATGTTACAGATGGAAGACCATAACTTGGCCTGGGTGCCTGAATGACCACATGGAGAAACTGTAAGAAGAAGAGCTACTGCCAGCCTAGAACACTCACTTCAGACTCTCACACGAGCCAAAAACACATGTATTTTTATCATTGAACTTTAGGGGATTCTTTTTACAGCAGCCCAACCTACCCTAACTAATCTTATTATCCTGAGGTTTAAAGATTTCATGACTGACCGTTCTAAAAATAACTGGGCAAGGGGAGGGAGGTCAGGTTCAAAATTCTAAAACAAATGAGTATTTTATCTTTAAGACCTCTCTTTAATACTTAGTTATTTGTTGAAAACTAATTTTTTCCTAAGGAATTCAAAAGTCAATATTGGAATGAAGACATTCCTAAGATGTAAAAACCAAATATACCTCAACTTGCAATGCTATCTATCTTGCATTACTGCTTTCTATTTGTAAACTATAAGCATCCTCCTCCCCACACCGTACAAAGATCGGAAATCTTGCATTATCATTTTGTGATTCCCTGAAATTTGATCACGTGAAGTTGAAGTTTTTCCACCAGGAGCAATTCTATAGCGGAGATAAAATTTTATCTCTAGCTTCTTAGGTTTTTTAGGCTGAGCCCAAGTATTAAGCTAACATAAAACAGATTAACAAGAGAAAGCATACACATTCATATAAGTTTCCTGTGGCATGGGAGTCCTCATAAAGAAATGAAGACTCAAAGAAATGGTGAAACCTACATACATTTATATTAGGATGAACAAAGAGCGGCAATAGTGGAAAAGTAACTAAACTATGTGATGAGGCTAAAGGAAGATATAAATTATTTTATCAAGGTCTGTTTGTATAGAATTATCTTGAGTTTCACTCCCTGTTAAAGAATGTTTCTTTAACAGGGAGTGAAACATCTACTGTTTTTTTAAGTGCTTTCAGCTCAAAATAAACCTATGCCAAAGTGACATATTTTCGGGTGGCATATTCTGCCATTCTTTAATTCCAACACAAGTCATCATCCTGAAAATCAAGGATTAATAAGATTGTTTAGCATCTCTGGAAGTTTTATGCATTCAGCTGAGGCAGTAAATGAATTTGAAAGAAAAATAAGAGAGGGAAGGGGACGTACGAGGCTAACAACGTTTCTCCCTTCCTCCCTTTCTTCCTTCTTTCTTCTCCTTCTCTTCCTCCTCCTCCTCTTACTTCTTGTTTCTCTCTCTCTTTCTTTTACAGAGGGAAACTGTGTTGCCTTTCACAGCAATTTGAAACACTGCAGGCATTGTGACAAAGATACTGGTTGAACATATGAAAAGAAAATACCAAACATGAACAAAAATATTCTTCACAAATACTGTTTTTAAAATGACAAACTGGGGCTTCCCTGGTGGCGCAGTGGTTGAGAGTCCGCCTGCTGATGCAGGGGACATGGGTTCGTGCCCCGGTCCGGGAAGATCCCACATGCCGCGGAGCGACTGGGCCCGTGAGCCATGGCCACTGGGCCTGTGCATCCAGAGCCTGTGCTCCGCACCGGGAGAGGCCACAACAGTGAGACGCCCTCGTACCGCAAAAAAAATAAATAAATAAAATAAAATCCAGAAAACTGTGTCCCATAGCAAAGAATTGGAGTCCGCAGATTATCAAGTCAACACAAAAGGAAAGAAAATGGGTAATGGACATAAGGAAGAAAATGACCTTTAACACAGATTGACCAAGAATTCTTATTGTTTTAAATATATTTTATATCTCAATGGTTTACATATGTGTTGTATAGCATTTTCTTATAATGATATTGCATAATTTAATTTAGTCCTTGAATATTGTCAAGATAGCTTTTTATGAAAGGTGAAACCTTGGTTTAACGTGGTAGATGTTGCCAGATGCATCAGCTAGTTCTTCCCTCAGTATCTTAGTCACTGCTTCAGCTTAAAATTCTTAGGTTGTTCTTTGAAATTATAAGAATAAAATCCAAACTGTAGAATATGATAAAATGTTCTATTATATGAAATCTTCATTTTTCTTGAGCCCCAATTAATATAATTGTTTAACTTCCAATTTTCTTTAGATAGATGGAAGTAAAATATTCTGTTATTCAATACATTCTCCCGTATCCCTTATTTATACTTCTGTATATTCTGATTCTTTGGTGTGGAGCATTCTTCCACACTTTTGTGGAGTGGCTCAACTCTATTTTTCCTTCAAAAAACAGCTCAAAACTTTGCTGATCATGTTCAGACACAGGTTAAGTGTGTCTCCAACATGCTTCCTCAGTACTCTGAGCTTCTATTATTGTGTTTTTATAGTGTATTATATTTTTCACATAGTTCTTTGTTTCCAACCTATGGCTGTGAGCCTCTGGAGTGTAATGACTGGCTGCCTTTTAATGCTATGTCCAGAACAAGTAAATAGTAAAATACAGTATATAGTGAGCCTCCTTCAAATGTTTGTGAGAAAACTATCTTCAATGGGTCCTAACATACTAACAAAAGTACATAATGTTTTAACTTAATTGAGATTAAAAAATCATGAAAGAAAATTCTACTATATTTGTAGAAGAGCATTATAAAACATTCTTTCATTTATATCCAATAATGAAGCAACCATGAGCATATAGTGATTTTAGTTTCATTATTTTTTCAATAAATTCTTCACTTTCTAACATACACACACACACTATGGACTGAACTGTGTTCCCTAAAATTCATATTTTGAGGCCCTAACCCTCAATGGGATGGTATTTGGAGATAGGACCCTTGGGAGGTAATTAGGTTTGCATGAGGTCATAAAAGTGGAGCCCTTATCTTGGAATTAATGCCTTCATAAGAAAAGACACCAGAGAGCTTGCTTTCTTTCACTTTCCTTTGTGTCAGGTTATAGCGAGAAGGCAGCAGTCTGCAAGTCAGGAAGAGACCTCTCACCAGAACCCGACCATGCTGAAAGCCTGATCTTGGACTTCCAGCCTCCAGAGCTGTGAGAAAATAAACATCTGTTGTTTAAACCACCTAGTCCTTGAATTTTGTTATGACAGCCTAACCTAAGATGGTATATATACTAACTTTACAGCTATAATATATATTATACACATAAACATAAGCTCTCTCTCTTTCTCTCTCTGTCACTGATTATATAGGAAGTATCATTTCAGATACACCTCAAAATTAAATGACATAATGTGTCTGGCAGTAACAAGAAACTAAATGTCTACTTCGTACCACTGAGATCATTAATCAGTTGCAATTTAAACCCCCAAACATAATGTTGTATTTTTCAAACCTAGCTTTAAGTATTTTTAAAGGATCCATTATTCATCAAAGGATTACTAAAACTGATATTTTACACTAAATTGTCATTTTAACCATATTAACTTTTAAAATAAATATAATGTTATGTTAATTTTAAAAAGTTTAAACTAGAATTAGAAGCCTGCTTTTACTGGAAAATTCTTATCACATCAATTTTGAGAGACCAAAAGAAAAAAAAAACAACAAAATTAAAACCTTCATATGTTACAAAACCTGATAGGAATCAATACCTGTATTCCTCTTGTGTGAAGCGTGGGATTTCTCCAGGATGTAAGACAAGAATTTTCACAGTGGCACTGCTGGACATCACAGGCTCACCATCATCAAAAGCAACAACCACCAACTTAAAAAGTAAAAAAATATTCAAGTTAAAGATGATTTAAAAGAAGAAAATAAAAGCATCATTTTTCTATGAATGTTTTTAATTATTGGACTGCCTGTTTCCAAAAGGGGGAGCAGTGATCATTTCCTCATTGCCTACTAGGTAGCAAAGACTATGCTAGGATATTCATAACAATCCCACCAGGTAGATATCATTATTTCCATTTGCCAGGTGAGGAAACTCAAAGAAGTTCAGTTAATAACTCTATGATAAAAAAAAAAAAAAAAAAAACTACCGGTAAAACAGGTATATGATACTACATCTCTCCAATTATAAACTCTTTTCTCTTTCACAATCCCACTGGTGCCTACAGTAAAAACATGAAACTTTATAAGTGCCAACACTTCTTTCAAAAGCATTAAATTCAGTCACATGGATAGCAAAAGCTAATTAAAAAAAAAAAAAAAAAAAAAAAAAACTACCGGTAAAACAGGTATATGATACTACATCTCTCCAATTATAAACTCTTTTCTCTTTCACAATCCCACTGGTGCCTACAGTAAAAACATGAAACTTTATAAGTGCCAACACTTCTTTCAAAAGCATTAAATTCAGTCACATGGATAGCAAAAGCTAATTAGCTTGCTTATAAAAAGAAATTAATTTTTCCAGTGAATTAATTGTCTGCAAGATTATAGGGCAGAAATACTTCACTCTGGAGGATAAAATTGGAAATCTTTATAGTTTAACACACTTTGATATACACTCTCTTAAAAACAATTAAATTATATAAAATGAAGTTCATACTGTAGAGCAGAAAATGTTCAAATGATGCAAACTAAAGAAAAGCTTTAGTCTTAAGATGTAATCTCTATATATTATTTATTAGTAAAATAGCTTTTATAATTGATCATTTTCTTTGATAACCTATATTATGTCAAGAAGAATTCTAATGTTTAAGAAATGTTAAGTTTCAAAACTATGTGTTTCTCTAGATTGTATATAATTTTGGAAGCTGCAGGTGACTAATCTAAAGTAATTCAACCTAGATCACGTAACCACAACCAAGGGTCATCCTGAGAGCCACAATCTGCCTTTGAGTTAATACTTTACAAACAGAACAATTATTTCAAATGGAGATGAAATTAAGTGAGACAGAGTTTTCACTGATATTCACAAGGTTAACTGATGATGGTACTTCCCCAATGTACGGTCAAAGGCTTTATTCCCAGGGACAAAATTTTTTCTAAGTAATTATAGAAAATGAAAACAGTCAAACATTTAATAAAATGGATTATTTATGATAATAGTGAAGGGTAGTATTATTTCAAATTTTCTAAAAGTATAACATATCAAGAGTACATAAACTTGAACCAGCAATTGCCTCTAGGTACTTACTTGGAGGAAAAAAAATAGCAAGTGGCAAATAATATCTGCACAAGGCGTTTCACGACAGCAAACATGGTTATAACAAAAATTGGAAACGACTAATTATCCAACAACAGGATATTGGACAAAAAAGAAAAAAAAACAATAGTATATTATACAATAGAACATCACACAACCATTTAAATAATAACATTAATAGTATTTAAATATACCTAAATTTTAAAGAGAAGTATGAATAACACAATCATACAATCATGTTATTTTAAAATATATATTTGTATACTTTTATGTGCAGGGAATGTTATCATAAGGATAGAGATTAAAATGGTAAATTTTAATCTCCAAAATGTGAAATATCAAGTGTTTTATTTTCCTTTTACTTAACTGTATTTTCTAAGTGTCTATGCAGTAAAAAATGTATTGTTTCGTAATTTTAAAATACTAAAAAGGAGAAAAATGGGAAGATGTATGGTTATTCGTTAAACCAAACTCTCAATCAATAGTTAAACATCAAATAGATACCAAAGAGAAAACACTGCACTGACCTTAAAAATTGTTGTAGGTTCTTCATTAAGATTAACTCGAGTTATTACTCTTCCAGAATCTTCTTCTACATCAAAAATACTGGCAGGATAAGGAAACTGGACATCATCTACTCTATATCTCACACGACTTGCAGGTAATCCCTAAAATAAAATTATATATTATTTCACAAAATGAAAACAAAGGGTAATGATAATATAAAATTGATTTGTAAAATAAATAGTCTTTTAAAAATGAAAAATCATATTTTAACTTTTCATACTTTCAGGTTTAAAATGTAGCAGAATCTTTATTTCTTTAGAATAACAATCTGAATCAGTGAAGTGTCTTTACTACATGTTATTTAAAATCATTTATGTGAAAGAATAAATCAGTCATTTCCTCGGGTGTCTTCCCTTCCACATTTCTTTAATTATATGAATCTCAGCTTCTTCCTTGAACACGGTGTTTAATATTTTATATTCTGAGACCATTATAAGTTATTTTCTTTATTATACTTATTTGAACTCTGTGATACTCAGAGAAAATAAAGTGTGGAGGATTGAGGTAAAGTGGAGGAGTGGGTATGGAAGTAAAGGAAACATTATTTACCATCTGTTCTGTGCTGTTTACCAGGCTAGGTTTTTTCATAAATAAATAAATTCTCACAACAATCCTTTAGGATAACCTTACTACTAATGTTGATAGTAATAACAGTAAAATAATGATAGTTAACATTTGTTGAAAGCTTATTATGTGTGAGAACCATACTAAAAATGATACATATATAGTCTACCGCACATTTTTCAGTTAATGAACTTGAAGCTTATAGGGAGTTTAAAAATGTTGAAATGTCCCAGACATACACCAAGATAAGTTGGAATAGCAAGCAAAAAATTCATTTTTCAAGAAAAATTAACATTTGATAATTTTGAAAAACACTATAATGAGAACAGTCAAAATTTATTGAACATCCTCACTTATATTAGGGGTAAGATTGGTTTTATTTTTAATTATATAGGGTGACACTGGGGTGGGCACTCTAATCTTTTTAAGTGCGTAAGGTCTGTAAATTTCTAAGCCAGTCCTAGAAGTACAATAAAATAAACACCTCAGACTCAGAGCTCATATGTGGTTGAGTTTGATCTCAAACCCTAACAGACACTATATTATACCACAAAACTCTTTAGAGAAGAACACCTCTATTTGACATTATTCTGATGTGGGAGATGCAGGATATTACCCCCATGTTATGCCCATAGCCTGAATTGGTTAATTATGCTTTGGGAAAGGATGGTTCTGAGAACATTGTTCTCTGTATTGTTGAGTTTCTTCATGACTGTCCTTGAACGGAATGTGTTGCTCCGTGTTTGTTCCTGAGTCACATTTGGGCTATAGGACTAATATGTTAGCCTTCAGGACTTATATAATTCCCTAATGATTATCTGTAAGTCCAATCCTTTCACCTGACACCTCAGTTTATCACTATCTCCTTGAATACTTTATGTAACTCTTTTCACTCTTTTGCCTTTCCTTCTTATCTGGAGGCTCCGGGTCAGACTGCTTGTTCCCAGTCTTCTTGGAGTTTCCCAAGGCTCTGTCACAGGCACTTTTGTCTTCTCTACCTCTGCTCAAGTTCCATGCCTTTAAATACCTCTTATTTGTTCATAAATCCTAAATTTAAATGTTTGGCTCTTTTGTCACTAGAGCAAAACTACAGCAAAAACCATTTCAAGAACAAATTTTCAGTTTCTGCTGGCATCAATACCCATTCAGTCTGTAGTACAGTATTAAAATTTTTATGACTATCATGAATCAGTTATCAAGAAACTTAAAGAAACTTAGAATATGTCAGTTACACTTAGCATGTTGTCTTTAATAATGCCAAGGTATTAATGATACATTTGGAATTATACCTTTAACTGATAAAAGAGAAAAATGTTTTGGTGTTGCAGAGTGTTATCTTGTAGATGCCTAAAACACTTTGCTATCCAGAGCATCCTATAATCTTCCTGGAGGATTGTTACAGATAAGATTGTATGTAAAAGAACATGTACATTATATTTAGCTATATCAGTAAGCTTTTCATTCTGATTTGTTATCCTACAGATTGCTAGCACATAAAAAAAGTGGCCCTGAGATGACATTGTTAGCCCACAAAAGATATTTTAATTGTTTCTTCCATCACCCTTGTTATCAAGGCACCACATTTTATTTCATATAACATGATACAACTAAATACCTTGATTTAGTTGTCCTTTTGAATATATTCAAAAGTTTTTTCCTCTTTCTTTCCCTCCCACCCTCCTTCTCTTCCTCCCTCTATTTTCCCCTTCCTCTCCCTTTTCCTCCCTGTTTCCTTCCCTCCCTTCCTAATTTTCTTTCCAAAGTCTTTAAAAAGATAGTCTTGCTTTTACAGTTAAATAATTAAGCTATGTAATAGGTGAAGGTAACTGGCTTTGGGAAACAGCTTCAATTAACCTGCCTAACATTGTCTCTGGGACATTTACAATATGAATCAGGTCAAATGCATGGTTTTTATGAATTCAAAAAATTAAAATTATTATGGCTTTAATCTGGAAAATAATGTGCAATCCAGATGTATGACACAACTAAAAAATAATCATCATAAGCTTTATCTCTCAAAATTATTTATCATTACTATTTATTAAACATTTAATATCTGATCATGTTAAAAAATTTAATAGATATGATCACAGTATTATAATGTACAAAATTCATTCATTATATTTTTAAAAATAGTCCACTGAGCTTATAAATTATACATTTTGATAATTATGAGATGACATATAAATATTCAAATTACCATTCAGATAATAAAAATTTACCAAATATTTGGTCTTTTATTTTAAATTGTACTAGAAATAGAGTGATCTTTCTTTACTCTTACATATTTCCAATAAGTTGATATTTCTTCCAGTTAAATATATTAGTTAATCATATTTATTTTTTAAACTAATCTATAAAAACATACTTAAAAGTGAGATGAAATATTTAATCATTACTTTCTACTTCAATTTATGATAATATAGTATATAGATTATATTGTATCTTTACCTATATGTATTTATAAGTGTATTAAGAGGGACATTTTGGACCATCAATAGTGAAAAAAGAGCTATATTTTTACAAAAAAAAAGTCAGTCTTTAAAATTTTTATTAGTATGGCAATAGACTCCTTTTCTATAGCATTTCCAAATTATCACAAAATCAATCTAATAGTAACACTAAAAGTAGTTTACAAAAATTGCTTTCTTAAAGTTCATACTAAACTAAAAGTAGGCTGTGGTTTAATTTATAAATGATGAGCAAATGACTCCTTGGTGCTGTACTCTGATCAACAAAATTTATTTGTCTTTATTTAGGACCAAAGAAATCTTGGGAGGTCATTAGTTAGCTTCCTATCTTCAGACACTAAAGGCTCTTCCTCTCTGAAACACTTGCTAAAACCAAACCTCATTTTTTCCTCGGCAGTGATGGAACATAGTGTTTTCTTTTTTTCAGGGGAAAAAAATTCTTCGTAGTTTTGAAGACCAATGTTTTACCCCTGAGCCTCACTTTATTAGGATAGATATTTCTAATTGTTTTTGTATCATCCTAGGCATTCTTTTCTTGCTTTTATATCTTTTCTCCATGCCCTTTTAACCTACCATAGTTGTTTAGGAAATGTACTCAAACTGTGGATTCAAGAGAAAAACACAAATTACCTGATTGTTTTAGGTCACCATCAAGGAAAAGAATACTTTGATATCCACCTAGTGGAATCCATTTAATTTTATTCCTTAGTTCAATGGTTAAATCACATCTCTTTCTTAGTACAGATATTTTAGTCTCATGTGGTAAAATGTATTTTGCCACTTCAGGACATGTAAAATTTCACAAGGAGACTATAAAATGGACTTTGATCCAACACAATTTATGACACATTAGTAGGTAATCCCATAATACATGTAATATCACAAAAAAAGACTAAGCTATTTTGGAATTTTGCTCTATTTACCTAGCCACTATGAAGAGGCATTAACAAAGGCAAGAAATGAAGATAGAATTAACCAAGACATAAATATTAATTCAATAGTAAAGTAATGAAATTGTCTGCAAAGATTCTCATCAGGCAGTGGTGGTAAAAATAGAGTTTCCCATCATTATGCCTCTTGGAGTCTTTTGATGGGTAAGTACAATGAGTTTCTTCTTTAAATTTTTATGGAAACTGAGGACATGTGAGAAGCATAGCACAACAGCTTTTTTGAAGCCTCCTCATTTTGACAGATATTTCTATAAATCCAGCTGACCTCATTATTGGAGCAAGCGTTACTTCAGATAACCATAATTTTAAAAGATTAATGAGGTGCTGGCACAGGAATCCTTCTTAATGTCAACTTTCATTCACCAAAATATTCTTCGATAGTTTCCCTGAATTTTCAAATAAGTGACACACTCATTTTTAGAGGGATATGTTTCCCTAAAGGAAATGTTCAAAATAGAAACATGGATATGACTGGCAGCTTAATCATTCAAGGGGTGCTGAAAACCTTAACTTGGCATCAAGTTAAGGTTAATAAGTTAACTAACCTTAATTTGGTTAACTGAAATTAACCACAATTTAGAACAAATTCCAGAGGACTTTTTGTTTGCCATTAGATAAAAAATATTTAACTCAGTTAAAAAAATAGAATTATAGAACTAAATCATTATACATTTATTTCATATATGGCATATTTTAAGAGAGAGATGTATAAATTGTATAAAATATTGGCAATTGAAAATTTTATAGATTATTTATCCCCTAACGTTTATCATTTTACTCATGTTTTATAGTACAAAGGTTAATTCATTATATGTGGGATTCATTCATTCATTCATCTATTTGTTTATTCATTCAACACATTAAATGGACACTGCTGAGTCCTGAGAGCACACAGATGAACAAATTCACAGCCTAGTTGAGGAGTTCATCTTATATCACCTCCTTCCTGATATTCATTAACAATAATTCAGCCAGATTGGCCTTATAAAACACCAAGCTCACTCCTACCTCAGCACTTTTCCACCTGCTGTTTGTTCTTCCTGCAATACTCTTGTATGTGGCTAGTTCCTTCTGGCATCCAGGTCTCAAATGATACCTCTTTTGCCTATACCCACC